AACAAATTTAATACTATTTGTTTATCCGAGCTCCTCAGCGATTTTCCTTGCCGATGTTTAATCATATTTACATTCAAGTTTACCATCTTTGTAATTCAACAACACAATTTGAAATAACGGTAGTTATTGCAATGAATGGAAAAAGAAACAAAAACATTATAGTGCGCATGACCGGAAAAAGTTTATTTCTAATGATTCAGAATGTGCAAATATTTATTAAAATAACAACTTAACAAATATGAAATAATAACATTTATAATCATTGCTAAGTGAATAGCATTTCATTAATGATTTTATAAATAACGAAGAACTATTTTCTGCGGACGAATGAGATGCAATACGATTTTTAATTGATGGACATGGGTTTAAACCAATAAACAAAGGGAGGTGTGTCTTAGTTTGTTTACAGTAGCTGCCAAGTTAGGATAAATAGACTATAGTTACCTAAAGAAGCAGTTTTTTTTTTCTTTGTTGGAAGAAAATTCCAACTTTTAAAGTTTGAATTTTCTTGTCATTGAGCAGATCAGTAATAAAATTAACGTATCTAAAATACAGTATTGATTTTAATAAAATGTTTGTATGTGAATAAAACTTATTAAATATTTTAATGACTTTTATTACCTAATAATTTTGTTATCCATTTTGACAATTGAAAGGAATGTAGATAATCAATAATGAAACCAATGCTTTTCTTTCCTAAAAAAAATTATTGTTGGTACATACATGTATGTGGTGGCTGAACATGTAAAATTTTTTAAATTAACATTTGCTAGCACTACATACTGGCTATAGATACTTTTGTGCTATCTGCCACTTGCACATTGTCTCAAAAATAATCCTGAATAATCTATTATAAATAAATACAGAGAATTATAATTTATTTATAGATAAAATTTTAAACTTGTATCACTATTAAATCTCAATTTTTAATATTTGATATATTTTTAATTCTCATTAAATTGTGTATAAATTTGAATCAGTTTATCAAATATTTTTATCATTGTATTTTGTCAAGTATTACTTGTCTTCAAATAAACCGAACACCAACTTTTTCATATGCCTTTTTAAAATATTCTCTTCCTAAAATATATTTAAGATTAAAATATACACACACTCACACTCTTAGCATACTACATATATTTTGTTGAATACTTTAGTTACAAGTTTCAGTTAACAAAATCAAACTATAACAACTTAACCCATAATAAACATTTTTATAATGTAATTAATTTATCCAAAAATGCTGAAAAATTATTGCAAAGATAAAATACAAATTAAAGCAAACAATCGCAACATTACACAATACTAGAATAATTAGTTTTTAATCACATTTATCTCACATTACAGAATGCAGCAATATTAAATATTGTATAGTATTTCATAATATACAATGATATGAATTACAGAAAAAATTAAATTTATATGTTATATCTTACAGGGGAATGTAGGTGATTCCAGAGCAGTAGCATCAGTTGGTGGTAGGGTACAGCAACTTTCTTTTGACCATAAACCAAGCAATGAGAGCGAGACAAAACGTATAATTGCAGCAGGAGGATGGGTAGAATTTAATAGAGTAAATGGTGAGTTTTTTATTTGTATTTTGTAACAATAATTAAATAGTGCCATTATGCCAAGCACTCTTACAATTCTTACAAACGTATTTGTGCAACAGCATATAAATCCAATAACTTAAAATTGATTTTTCTTAAAAATGCTTATGGTTGAGGATTTTTGACTACTATGTATAGTTTAATTTCACACAGTTTTATTTAAAACATGAAATACTTAAGGAAATGCAAACAAATAATTACATAACTTTTATCAGGTGTGTATTTGTTTGCATCATTACAATATCAGACTCAGTAAGCACAGTTAATATTTCAATAATATAATAATCTTACTTTATTATTCAAATTTTCTACTTTCTTGCCATTCAAATTAATGCTCCTGGAGTGCAAATTTTTAGAATATGTAAAGTTTGTTGGTCAATATCTATTCAAACAAATCTGAAACATTATTTAATAAGATATTTTTTTGTGAAAGATATAAAACACCTCTGTAAACATAAAAAATAGAAATGAAACAAGAACAATAATAATAATAATAATTGGTAGTAGTAATAAAATATGACGAGTATTGAATAAAACAATTTTTTGGATCAATTCAATGCTTCCAATAATGAATATTTACTTCCTGAAATAAATACCCATTATTGGGTGTGTTCTAAAGTTCTAATGAAAAAAAAAACTGAATAGTAGAGAAATTGTAATTTTATGAGAAAAAAATAATTGTCTAACATTTTTAGTCCTTAGTAGTGTGTGTTGCATATTAAAAATAATTTTATTTTTTAATACAAATGTTGTTATATTTATAATAGTGTTATATTTTTAAATTTTAAATTATTTATAGGTAATCTAGCACTTTCACGTGCACTTGGAGATTTTGTATTTAAGAAGAATGATAAAAAGCCTCCTGAAGAACAGATAGTCACTGGTTAGAGTTATTTTAAAATTTGTTAGAATTGTCATCATTTGTTGAAATAACAATTAATTGAAAAATTTTTTTAGCTTATCCTGATGTAGTAGTTAGAGAAGTCACTCCAGATCACGAATTTATTGTTCTTGCATGTGATGGTATTTGGGATGTACTATCAAATGAAGATGTTGTTGATTTCATCCGTTCTAGAGTAGCTGCTAAAATGGAACCTGAACAAGTAAATTCTTTCAATTGTTAGATTATAATTGTACATATTATGATTTATTTCAAAATAATTTATTTACATAAAATAATTGCAATTTTTCATAATTATTTAAATAATTAAGTGTTTATATTACACTATAATATTAAATGAATAGCTGAATTCCTTTATTTGGCTGCTTAAAGCTAATTAATTTATATAGAGACTTTAAATATCCCAAAAAGGGAATTTGGTTGTTCATTTGATATATAAAGTAATTACTGAGTTAACTGTATTTGCTACTATAATACTACTATTCTTCATTATTTTTGTGTTTTCATTTAAAACCTCCAATACTAGTTTTAAAAATAAATTATTGCTGCTTTTAATAAAAAGTTGTTTATATAATATTGCTAAAATATTTTTATTTAAGTATATGATTTATTTAATACATTAATTAATTTTACTATACAAATTAAGACTAGGTGGGATAACTGTATCCATTGGATAACTGTGCCTTTTTTGTAATATCTCACCAGCCAATCTAAATTAATCTGATATCAATGAATCAATGTTATCTCGCGAGTACAAATATTGATAGTATTTGAGCTGGTTTTATACATGGCTACTTCCATGGTTGCAACAGTGAGAAGTCTGGATAAGGTTTTTTTATTTGACAAGATGCAAGTAAATAAGTTTTTTTTTTAATTTAAAATCTAGTAATTGTAATTTTGAGACACAATTTATATTTATATGAATACTGTTCTACAGTATTCATATAAATATAGGTTTCCAACTTGTGTTCCACAGAACCACAATAAAATCTGTTTTCTAGTGATGTATGGATGTATGAATGTGCCAATGCAGATTTGGGATGTGAGATGTAATTGTTGTAGTCTCAGATTCAGTCCTTTATGACATCTTATACATATGCTAGAAGTTTTTATATATTTATAAACAGTGGGGACTGATTTATCATAACAATAAACTGAAATCATGATATAATGTTTGACAAGATAATTAAAACCATAAAAATGGTAAAATTTAACCTAAAGCTAGAGAATCATTAAAAAAATATAACCTTAAAAGTATCTAACTTATAAATAATACAATTGTTAAATATAATTTAATTCATCAATATCAGCAGCACAAGACTATTGAATCTAATGAAGGGAATGGCCAGTCAGATGCTCAATAGTACTGTACACACTATGATACTAGTGTGTACTATACAGTACATACACTAGATGTGACACTAGTCTGATATGAGTGTCCCATCTAGTCAAAGGGTTAATGTCCCATCATCTATAATTTCTTGTAGTGCAATAGTACATCTTACAAGCAGGCATATAAGTCAAGGATCATTAGATTTTGCAATCATTTTGTGATATTTTAAGTATTTCTCATATAAAAATGTAGTGGAAATTTGTATAAATTTACAGTGTTTTTAGTATTTGTGTACCCCAAATTAAAAATCATGGAGCATTGGCTGAGAGAAGAGCTTTGAAAAAAACTGTAGCAAGTACTTCAAATATTTCTAGTGACAAGGAGACTGGAAAGATGGATACAAATGAAAGTCTAAATTCAGTCATTAGCACTGTTTAAAATATTGAAAAACCCTTCACATTAATGACCGGTTTAAATTAAGTGATATTTGCTTTCCATTATTCGATTAATCTGTTTTTTTCAATAAATTGTTTGTATTTGCTGTTTTATCTATAATCATTAAAAATTGTCAGGGTTCAACATTTTTTACTATGATGAGAAAGGTTCTGCGATAAAAATTAGTTTGAAACCACTGCCTGTAGAATGATAGGTGAAAGTACTGTTTGTGAAGTTTTTTGTCCCTGTGTTTTGTTTTCTCGTGATAAGTCTGGATGCATTTATTCCATGAAATTTCAATAGTTCAGTTATGGGGGAATTTACCCCTTTATGCTCTATATATACTGTATCTACACAGATTCCTTTAGATAAATGTGTGGCAGAAGAAAGCACTACACAGTGCTTTCTTGATTATTTCATCATCATGAAGTTTCCAAAAAAGTAAGTGTTTGACATTGTTGGACAAGTTGTCAGTATCAATTTTGATCAAAAGTTTATGCACCTTGTCAAGAAGAAATTTAGGAGAACACTTGTTTTCCATTTGCCATTTGTGGAAGATTATGCAGACATTTTTCTCCAAGACATTGTCAAGTCTCTTGACAAAGCATGACATGTTAGATGTTTAGTTTCTTTTACAATTTAAAGTCTCATTATAATCTGGAATAAGGTGCTTCAAAAGTTGTTCAAAATGTTCTTTTCAAGAGAAAGTTATTCTCAAGCAATTTCATCTTGTTTTTTTAAATCACTTTACATTTCTGTTGTAATTAGAGACCTAAATTAAAAATAAATACAGTAGAGCATCGTTTATCCGAAGGAATTCCAGTCGACAAATTTAAATTTTCGCCAGTGCTGTGGCACTGTAATCTTTGGCTGTCTTTGGCTACTCAAATATTTTACGTTTTTGATACTAAATTAACTTCTGAAGTATAATTTTTTATTGTTTTTATATTTTTCAATATATTTATTTTGTTTGTACAAAATAAAAAAATAATTTTTAACGATACAATAGTCTTCGTTAGGCTTAACATCGAC